TGTGTGTGGAGCTGCAGACCTGACAGGGTCTCCATGCTGTCTGCTGCTGAAAGCACCAACACTGGACATGTGGCCATCAGATCTGGACCACAGAGCGATGGAAGAAGGTGGGCTGGTCTGATGAAGCACGTGGATGGCTGGGTGGTTGTTCACCACTTACCTGGGGAACATCTGGTACATCAGGATGCATTATGGGAAGAAGGCCAGCCAGCAGGGGCAGTGTAACGCTTTGAGCAATGTTCTGCTGGGAAACCTTGTGTCCTGCATCCATGTGGATGTTACTTTGACACGTACCATCTACCTGAGCATTGTTGCACATCATCTACACCCTTTCGTGGGAACAGTGCTCCCTGATGGCTGTGGCCTCTTCAGCAGGATAATGTGCCACAAGTCAGAAATGGTTCAGGAATGGTTTGAGCACAGCAGCCAGTTTGAGGAGTTGACTTGACCTCCAAATTCCCCAGATCTCAATCCAGTCGAGCCATGTGCTGGACCGACACGTGGAGGCCCCACCTCACAGCATACAGGACTTACAGGACCTACATCTGGGTCCAGATACAACACACCTTCAGGGGCGGAGTCCATACCTCGATGAGTCAGGAGGACCAACACAATACTAGGCAGGTGCTGATAGTGTTGTGTATATCACTGCTCTGTGATCAGTGCTCTCACAATGAGTTTATTAAAAAGACACATCTAGTCTTCTCACTGGTTTGTGGAATCCACTCAAACTTGTACACACTGTATATATATAAAGCAAAATCCTATCAAACATATCAGCACAAGCTATCATAACACCTGAAATCATGAATTTGAATATTTAAATCTCTTTAACAGAATCCCGGTCCATCACATTACAGTCAAACTTCCTCTTCCTGGATCACAGACACAGAGCGGTGAACGGTGACGACCGATGATGGAGAATTCATGAATCGCAAACATTTAATCAAACATCAACAAATAAACATTTGAGAAAAGAAAGCTCCGTGTGGCGGCGTCATTGTGTGGAGGGAATGTCGTCTTGTGCTTCCTGTGGAGAAACGCAGCTGCAGCAGGAACAGCGTTAAAAACTCTGTGGGAGTCGATGAGAAGCAGGATGTGAGGAGGGGGAACGAGTACAGTAGAGAGTGACAGAGCAGGCTGTAGGGGCTTATACAGTAGCTGAGACAAAGCATGCTGGAACAGGCCTAATGACACAGCACAGGAGATAGCAGAGCGCTTCTCCCAGACACAACATCCTCTGTGTTACCATCAATAAGGCTGAGAAGACGCACAAAGACAAAATAGCACATATTTGTGCAGAGCTTCAATAAGAGGAGACTCTTTTCTCCCGTGGCTTTCTCTGTTTTTGGAGTTTTTCCTGATCCTGTGCAGGCTTCTGGTTGGTCTTTGTGTGTCATTGTTTCCTTTAGTTTTTTCTTTCTTTCTTTTTTTAGATCTGCTAGAGAAGTCACGTGTGGTGAAGCAGCCGAGAGGCGAGAGGAACTTCCACGTCTTTTATCAGCTTCTGTCTGGAGCCTCAGACGACACGCTCAGTGAGTAAAACTGCTGGAAAAGCTGGTCGAATGGTGGCCTGGACAGGAACGTAGAGCTGCCGGGATCAATGCCACTTTGAGAATCGGGAGAAAGACCTCAGAATGTGCACGTCTCTGGATGCTCGCAGTATGAATTAAAAAAATAGGCCTGGTGTTCTGCTTACTGTTACGTTTACCGTGTGTATACTAAATGTGCCAATCCCCCCATGCAGCTGCATGAACACATGGCTAACGCATTAATAAGTCGCCCTTCCTGCCTAATAAACACCACGAGAACAAAGAGAGTGAAACCCACTCGCTCTGTTTGCGTTTCTGCTGCGAGGGGCCATTGCTTAATGTTCTTCACAAAGGAGAACAATATAATGGTCATTGACCCCAGAGCGCACACATCACTGAGGCTCTAGCTGTTGTTTATACTGCTATGAATGAAATCTGACACATGCACCCAGAAGAGGATTTCTCTACTAAATGACAGGGAGGCCTTTAAAGAGGGCAATCTGATCTTCCAGCATGATGTTCACAGCAGCAGCTCAGTGTTTGAATACACCATGTCAGAACTGAAGGAGGGCAATACCCCAGGGCTTAGACACATTTTTCTAAAATTTCTACCATCAGTTGTGTTTCTTTAAACGGGAATTGAATTCAGCATCTTCTATCGGCTCACAGAGCTGTGCTGGATTTTATGGGGCAGCTGGCAGGAGTGTAGTTACGCTGCATGAGTCTAAATGACAACCACATGGTTTGTGTGTCACAGGGAAGCTAAAGCTGGACCGGGACTTTAGCAAGTACAACTACCTGAGCCTGGACTCTGCTGCGGTCAGCGGACTGGACGATGCGGCTAACTTCAGGACAGTCAGAGTGAGTAGAGCGCACACGTGTGTCCGTATGACTGGTGGAGCCCGACGCTGCGCCTCACCCTCGTGACGTTTGGCACAGACTTTCCTCTCTGCGGGATTTCTGTTAACTCGGTGTGGCGCGGCAGAGCGAGGAGGCGGTCTGATTGTCCTCTTATCTCCACGGCAGAACAAACGAACAAACGTGCTTTGGCGTCAGTATTGCTGGCTGTGTAAACACTTCACGCCAGCGGCCCTCCCACCTGTTGCAAAACCAGGTGAACTTTGATCTTGACGGTGGATTAAAGACTGGTTTGTATTGATTAAACG